ATTATGTCATCTTGCCACATATGATCCTTTTGGTACATATACTTGCCATGTGTAAGGGTTACATAAGTTAGAGACTAGCTCTTGGTAGAATTAAGGGTGTGTAACGGGTAGGCAAAATTTGAAACCGTACGGGTTGGGTTCCGGGTCGGTTACGGGTTGGGGCTTACCGGATTTAACGGGTTCTGGTTCATCCGGATAAAAAATAAACCGTAAGGGTTACAGGTACAAGGGGTCGGGCCGGGCCGAGTTAGCGTAATTTTTAATTTTTTTTTGTATTTTATTTTTGTATAATTATTGTAAGTTATATTAATATAAAGTAAAAATATAAAGAATACAATGAAAATGGGAAAAAATTGCACTTATAAATTGCAAGTGCTACATTTATTTCAAAATTCAAACTTACAAATTGAAAGGTTTACATTTAACAACAAGCAAATTAACGAAAAAAGAGTAAATTCAAAGGCCCCATTATTAAAAAAAAATTAAGTAGCCGTTATACCGGTCTGGGTCGGGCCGGTTAACCGGTTGTACAATAAAAATCGTTGACCGGATTTGACCCAAGGTGAACGAACCAAACCCCCTACCCCTTTAACCCAGCCCTACCCGACCCCCTTCTACCGATCTGGGCCGGTTCGGAAACGGGCTGACCCGGCCCGTTAGACACCCATAGGTAGAATATTCTAAAATTACAGAGAATTTCTTTGGGAAAACTCTAGATATTTATGGATTTGGTTAGAAGACTCTCGTTTGAAAAGCCTTGAAATGTTCTAGTCATATAGAAAATTCTAGAGGGTGTACTTATTTGTAAATATGAAAAGACTTGTAAAACAATTATTATTTACACACTAGCTCCTAGGTGACTAGTATAAATAGGGGACATTCATTTGTAACTCACCAAACAAAACAATCAAGTTATCTCTAATACAAAAGCTTCATTTGGCAATTCTCATGTATTCTAACGTTCCCTAAGCGATCTTTAGTATTGTAAGACTGAGTTGACATATCAAGATCGTGTGCGAGTTGTGCAAGAACGTGAAAAAATTGTCAGGTGTTGCACGTGTATTTAATTAAAGACTAAGGACATAACATTAAAGTAAGCAAAGAGAATTGTTGAATTTATTAAATAACTTCATTCCTAACTCCATTGGACCCCAAAAAATGAACTAATTTTTGCTGGATCAACGTCTTGCTCTGTTGGAAAAAAAACGTCTTGCTCTATACTAGGAGAAATTTGGAAGGGTAATTAATAAATAAAAAGTAAAACTAATGGTCAGCTATTAGAAATTTAAGATAGTGTATATCCATATTAAAGTTCTTGCCTTTTCTTTATATAAGATAAGATAAGAAGATGAAAGCAAGAGAGGCCAATTTAAATTTCCGAAAAAAGCAAGAACAACTTCCGGTTGTATAATAAGTAATGACAAATTAAACAATATTTTAATAAACCAAGAAAGCTTGATTTGGTTGAAAATAAGAAAGCAGCATCTAGAATGGACTAGTCATTTGCATATCCAACAGAGACAGAAGCTTGAATTGCTGATGTCTATACATAAAAATGGACAGTTTTTGACATACGCGTGTATAGCCTGAATACTATTTCATCTGTTGGAGCAGGTAAACTTACAAGCAAAAACGTCCAATCTATTTCTGAAAAAGAGCTGACATTTCCTATTATGCTTTAGAATCCAATGCTATCTGCAAATTCTCAATAAAGTTAAAAAGAAAACAAAGCTTCTTACATCCTGCACTATTAAATATTATGGTCCAAACATTAAATATCTTACCGAATACTATAAATTTAAGACTTTTATAGCATGTACTGCTACTATCTTTACAGAAGTAATCATAACCTTTTTTTAGTCAAAGACTGTCAATAATTTATCAAATTATCTTCGTTAAATTTTCTTCGTATTTACACATACCTAATCATCAGTGTGAGCAGACCTACAACATTTACTCATTTGACTTGAACTATATGTATAGATAAAATAAGAAAACGTACTTGTACTTCTTATCACAAAAGAATGGAGTACTGTATATTGTAAGGTGTGTAGTAAGCTCATACTATATGCGAGATTCGGGGAAGAGCCGGATCATGATAGTCTAATCGTACACAACACTGCTACGTTATATTCTAGTTGACTTAAAAATCTTGGTTCAGACTTTTCATTAACATAACTAGAACAACACAAATGAGAAAAGAAAAGCTATTCTCATCATATCAGGTAAGGAGAGTCAATTAATACACAACCATATTCCAAAGTCAATGACGTGGGAGCAAATGCGTTTTACTCTTTTTTAGTCATTTGGTCTTTTCTTCACTTTCTCTGTATAAAAGTTTGGCCATAACTGATGTAAGTCTGCCTTTGAACCAAACCAGCCAAGCAAGAAAAAAGCCGTAATACCCTTTGTTTCTCTTTCTCTTCAAACTAAATAAGAACCCCATTTCAGACCCTAGCCCACCACAAAAAAACGGAAGTATGGGGACAGATACAGAGGCAGCAGAAATGAGTTCAACACTAAAGCTTCCTCTATTTTCAGTAGAGTCATCACAAGAGGATTTAGGGATGCTAACTCCTCTTCACACTTTAGCTTCAATACCTTTCAAATGGGAAGAAGAACCTGGAAAACCTCGTCCATGCACTGATCTTATCCCTCTTTCAAACTCCACATGTTTAGAACCACCTCCTAGGCTTTACAATATGGAATTTTCCAAGACATCTTCTTCTCCTACAACTGTATTTGACGGACCTTACATCACCAGTAAACCTAAATTTTCTTCATTCAGGTTGTTGAGGAAGGATCGTCGTCATCGTCGACAAGGGTCTTTTGATAGTAGTACTAGCTCCGAAACAGGACAACTTAGTACTACACTTGTTCTTGGTAACAAGAAAGCCGAAAGCAAAAGCTGGTGGCGCCGGCCGACTAATGTTAAACATAAAGGTTGTGATATTAATAGTGGTTTTGTGTTTCCATCTTCTATAGATTCAACAGATTGTGTTAGTCTCAATGAAGAATGCAGCAGTTCCAGTATTAAAACGGAAACACTTAGAAGAAGTGGCAGTTTCTCAGGTCACTCGCAGGCTAAGACTCACATCTGGGTAAGTGCCTTTATATGCAGATTTCAATTTCATTAGTGAATTTTGCTATAACTACTGTTTTTCTTCTGTCCGTTCCATGCTAAATTGCTCTTCCTTTTTATTCGTGATTCGTACTCTGCCTTTAACCCCCCTTGTAATTAACGTACTATGATCTCAATGAACTTAGGAACATTGAAAGAAAGATGTACTTACTATATAGAGATAAGTTTCACGCGCTCTAGATCCTAGGTTGCCCGCCCCACTAGCGGCGAGACAGGATTTCCGCTAAGAGAGTTCATGGAAAAAATTAAAAGAGACTATGAATGGAAGTTGAACCAGCAACTTAACAAATATTTTGAACTTCCTCACCTCTGTTGAGAGAATTCAAAATATAAATTTAAAGGTACAAACCGGATTTTGCTTAATTTTTTGGGCCAAGGGTTCCGCCCCCTAAATCTGCTCTTGCGCCCCACCCTATCCTTTAAGGGACTAACTGTTTGTTCTTTGACTATAAAACTTTTAATCAATAGTATATTTTTAGTAAAATTCTTGTTACATAGTTTCCATTTTTGTTTAAATAAAACTTGAGGAATGATGACTGAATTAAGTAACCAGAAATACCTTACAGTTCCTTTTTGTAATGAGGGACTAATATGAACGGAGAAAGTACAGAACTAGTGGGGTGATATAGTAATGAGAAAGCTTAATTATTGAGGCAGGTGATGTTGAAGAAGACGGCAGTGGGGCTAAAGAACACCTAGTTAACTTCACTTGTAGGTAATGGGGGTAGGTATTACACAAACCCACAAATAGTTGTAAGCAATTATGTATCAAAATGTTAAAAGCTAGATAGGGTTGAATGAGTAGGTAGATGCTGTCCCCAAGTAATAGGGCGTCCATTGTCATCACAGTAAATGGGAAAGGGGCGAAGGATATGGGCTGTCTGATTGAAGCTGTTTTTGTAAAGGATTGGGAGATGTGTAGACTTTTCTCCTTAGCATATTTTCTTCCTCTGCTATCATTATCAGCATTTAAAATCATTTGCGTGATTCGTTGGCTTTCATTATTAAAACTACGTGCAGTGTCTTCTATTTTTCCATCAGCATTTACTAAACTCAAGTATTGTTGTTGAAATCTTGCAGGTAGCTATATACGAGGGTTTCAAGCAGGTAATACCATGGAAGAGCAGAAAGTCGAAAAAAGAAGCGCTAATCGGCTAACTTTCAACATTAGCTGTTACGTTAATTATATGAAGACTTGATGTATCCTTTCTTTAGTCATTTGAGTACTCCTGCGATATAAAAACAAATGCACTGTGGCTCTTGCCTGAATGTTGTATTCTACTATCTTTAGCCTTAAATTTCACCAGAACCAGTTGTAAATTTAGTACGAGATCATTTTCTGGATGCCGTTGTCACTTATGGTTGCAATGAAGTGAATATTTACAGTTCTCATGGAGGACATATCAGTCAGAGCTACATAAGTTACATTCAATTCGAGAAATACAGCTAGACGCTAGTTTTAGAAGATGAAATGTTTCAATTAAAATTTCTCATAAACACCCCCACGCCACCCACCTAGGGTTAAAAACTTAAGTTTCCACCATTACAAATAGACTAGGCATTATAGAGACACAGATAGTAAAGCCTTCCTCTCCAGTGGTCACCTACAGAAAATTAGAGTTTCCATCTTTACAAATAAAGAACTATAGTACATTATAGTGAGGAGATACTTCAAACAGTAAAGTAAAGCCTTTCCTTTCCCTTCAACGATTGCCTATTAGCAGATGATATTATCTGGTCACTTCAGTTATATACTAGGTTGCCAAACCAAAAGACGAAGGTGCTCAGATGGACCAAATCCTTGAGAGAAAACTAATCTAAAGCAATTCAAAAAGAGAAGATCAACTGACACAAATCAGAATTAAAAAGCTTCTCAGATGCATTTGATTAGGTCATAAGTGAAGTCTAATTCAGTATTTGAATCAATGTAGCACTGGCCATATCAAGTGCTTACAAATGAGGGAGAGCTCCCCCCTTCTTGCACACACATTTAACAGTTATCCACAAAAAGAGGACCTTATTTTCATTTCCAATCAGGATGCAACAAAAGGGATGGAATAACGCTACAAAGAGCTGGTTGAAACTAAAACCTCACAAGTATCTTATCCTTACTTTTTACCAGTCATACCAGCAACCACCTGCACAAAGTAGCAAACTACATTATGTGAAGAAGAGAATGAAAAGCAGCTGAAGATCTTCATAGACGTATGACATAAATAACTTAAAAGCACTTTGATAGCATTTTGGTTCAGAAGCTTGTTTAGAGTCTTTGGAATGTTATATGCAGCCAATTTCTAAACCTCAATTATATTAACCTTAGAGAGATATCTAGCAGCCAGCAGGACAAACTGAGACAAAGTGAATTTATGGATGTTGGTTGATCGAAAAAGTAGAGGCTAAATCTCATAATTCACAGCTCAAATCTTGACTGACTTAGCACTTATTACAAAAAATCATCACTAAAGCTGCCATAGTGTGACGCTGTAACACTCTCGTAGAATCTGAGTCAAAGCATGTCACCTAATGCAAAAGAGAACAAGTAAAAATGGACGGCATTGATAAAATCCCATTTAGCATCCACAGGAGTGTGAACTAGCATAGTTCGTAAAGGGGCCATTTATGTTTATCCAGAATAGATTTCAACCTTTACGTATAAGCAAGAGGAAACAAACCAACAAACATATCTGATGAGGAAAATGACCAAAAAGACGAAAAACACATTTGCATAAACCAGAAGTAACATAAAACAAAGATAGTAAATTACTCACATCACTTAAAGCAGGTTGTGGGACTTGCTTGGATGATTCAAAAGAGTCCAGAATAGGCCTTACAACCGCAGGAAGGAAGAGACCTGAAATTGCAAGAAATATAAAACAAACTAATTCACAATCAAAGAGAAAAAGTAGGTGGGAATGAAAGTCAAGAAGTGTCCATTCAAAATGCTATCCAAATTTTACTACTTCAGTAGGTAATTAAGTATATCATCATTTCCAGATGCATATGGAGGCCAACTTCTTGAGTCAGTATTCGGATTCACCAAGTCATTAAGCAGTGTAATTCTCTTGAGCGACTAACTCATACACATTTCTCTTGCAGAAGGGCATCCCAGTAAGGCTGACCTAATGGCTTGTGCCATAAAGGATACAAATCCACCAAGTGTTACTGAGAAAAGATAACAGACAACACTCATGTATACGACTGACAGCCAGTAGAGACCTCTCTGGAAGCACGGAAGGGACAAAACGCAGAGTTGTAGATGAATTTTACTTGCATGATCAATGGCTAAACAGTTGCAGAGCTGGACTTCTCCAAATTCCTGCTACTGAGTCACTGGTTGGTTTTCAAACCCAGTGGATCAGATCAATATAATGGTGTGTAGGCTCAAAGAAGATATTCCACATTCCACTTATTGGAATCCCTCTATTTGATCAAAATCATTATCTGAAAATGATCAACTTTTACAACCTTAATCTAAATATAATTAGAAGAATATAGATAAACACATGCAGAAGCTGAGGTTGATAACCAACTGCTCTCCTCAGCATCCCCTTTCAGTACATGGAAAGGACTTCCTGATCTAAGTATACTGTGGATTTCTCTGCTTGATTGCAGATGAATACATACTTAATGCTAAAAGACAAAAATGTACACTCTTCATTAGGTCTCAGTCTGTCACCTCTGTCAAGATGAAGCCGGTAAACTAGTCTAAAATGCACACTAGGGTTAACTGCATTAATCGGCCTCATAAATAGTTTTTGCATTCAGGAACTACGTTGATCTAATAACCACGAAAAGAAATAAGAGAAACCCACTCTCTACAGCCAGCTACTAAATTCTGGGTTCCCATCCTTTACTCACTCCTAAACAAAGAAGATATACGTACATCCATACATACATTGAGACATACGAACATATTGTATGCATGTGTGTGTGTACAGAATGCAAGAATAAGGAGTCATCATGGTAGCAGATTTCTTTTTGGGCAACAGATCAACTTGATGCATGTTATCCTTTGGCACAAATCATACTTGCGACAATATTTGGAGGTTATTCTTCTCAATTATATAAGTACTTATTTTGCTGTATATTCCCTACTATCAAAATAAGAGTGAGGCCAAACCTTTTATAATCTTTCGATTATAGTTAAATTGAGAGGCAAATCACCTTCCACTACTAGTTCCAACTGACCCATTGCTAACAAAAACCTACAGCTCAACTGATAAATAAACAGATCCACTTACAAACGACGAACTTGATACTTAGAGCTCAAAATGAGGAACTGTTGAGTTTTGGATTGTTGAGTTTTTGTTTAAGATGAAATAGTCTTAAAATGAGAGTGAATGGGAAATGGGATTTGGATTCGGATTTGATCAAATGATCGATCGATTGATTAATTATTTGGACCAAATTTATTTGTTAATAGTGAATATTAACGTGATATAATCCGTGTTTGTAACGGATGTTTTCCAATCCGTGTATTGTGTTGCACCAAGAAAGCAACAAGATGCCTAGTGCACCTCCCACCATGGCCAAGTGCTCCTCCCACCAAGCAAGTGTTCATTCCACCATGTAAGTGCTTCCTCCATGATATCCTAATGCTTGTTCCACCATGGAGGGGGCGGATTTCTCTCACATGACTGCTATAAATAGAGCAGAAGTTGTAGAGAAAGAAGAACACACCGGAAAAAAACACTCGAAACACTCAGTATACAATTGATATACACTTTGTATATAATTGATATACACTCTGTATACACTCAAACTACACTCTGTATACACTGTGTATACACTGGAAAAACGAATTGCAATCTGATATCCTCTTCAGTAAGAATTCAACATCGGCTATACATTGCATTCCTTCCTCTCAGAATTTCCATTCGACTTCTGAGTTCTCCTCCCTTGTTCTGCATTGTTTTAAAACTACAAACAAAGCAACTGTAAGTGTGATTTGCTGCCGAACTTTGCGTTCGCTGAAATACTGGGGTTTGAAGTACCGCTACACCAGTGTGTAATTCGTTCTATCCTGGGAGGAAATAATCCATAACCTTGGGTACTAGGAGGGGATTAAATTCCTTAAGAAAACACTGTGAATTCAGTGGGCTCGAATTAATTTTAGATTCTGTTTTATTTATATTTACGTTTATAAGCTAACGTTCTAATTTCCAGAATCATTATTTACAAATACAAGAGGCATAACAATAACAAGCTTAAGGAATTTAATAATTTTAATTTTTGTATTTGTGTTACTTTTATTATTCTGGAAACTTAAAACCTTTGTGGTTTTGTGTACTCCCATTTGGAGAGTAAAGCCTTCGTGGCGTTTTGTTGGAGATTAAAATCTACGTGATTTTTCACTCCAGTTTTAAACGTTTATTAAACGTTTGTTTGTGTCATTTTTACAGTAAAAATGGCGAATGACGGAAATCAAGCTGTTCCGATGATGACTGCCAACGCATCGACAAGTCGAACTCCGGCGTTGGCACCGGCAGAGAAACCCGGAAAATTTTCCGGGATGGATTTCAAGCGCTGGCAGCAAAAGATGTTCTTCTACTTGACTACGTTATGTCTACAGAAGTTCATCAAGGAAGATGTTCCTGATCTTCCAGATGAAACTCCAGAGAATGATAGCTTTCTCGTGATTGAGGCGTGGAAGCATTCTGACTTCTTGTGCAGGAATTATATTCTTAGCGGACTGGAGGATAATTGTATAATGTATACAGTGGCGTGGAGACGTCAAAAGAATTGTGGAATGCGCTTGAAAAGAAATGCAAAACTGAAGATGCCGGGATGAAGAAATTCGTCGCTGCAAAATTTTTGGACTACAAAATGGTAGATAGCAAGTCTGTTATTACCCAAGTCCATGAGTTACAAGTGATTATTCATGATCTACTTGCTGAAGGTATATTTCAAATGAATGCTAATGTTTAAAGTAAAAAATTTAGTAATTTTACTAACGGAATTTTCATTGAAGGTCTTTTCATCAATGAGGCATTCCAAGTAGCAGCAATAATTGAGAAGTTGCCTCCATTGTGGAAGGACT